TCAGTGCAGTGGAAGCTGGTCTTTTTGTGCGCTGGCTGAACAGATGGAAGTAATATCTATTTCACAGCTCCATAAAGAGCCACACGATTTTATCCGATTCCAAGTCTAAGATGGAAGTATCTACTCTATGTTTTACTGACCACCAGTATGTCGAGATGGAACGACTTTATCCTATTCCAACGCCAAGATGGGATTACCTATTCGTCAATATAGTTACGGCCAGCTCCACCATGGATATTCGTCTCAACATATTAGTACAGTATTCCCTACACCCTACTCATGAAGAAGACACTTTTCAAATATAGAAGCGTCAAGCGAGTATTGGTGCTCCACATACTGTGGCTCACTCTGTATTAAGTTTTTCATTCCCAATTTTTTAGAGTGCTAAACCCTCGAGGTGATATTTTAGGGATCGAAGGAAAACAGGTCTTCCAAAGGCGGCGAACGAATGCAGTGAAGGAAAAAATAAAATATTCATTTCAGTGTAAAATCCCGAGGGGGAGAAAACATTGAAGAGATATCACTGTTTACAGTGCAGGAGTATCTCCAGTGCCCAATTGCCATGACGAAACAAATACGTGATTGAAATCTAAAGTTACCGTAAACAACCGGGATTTTCTAAGAGGGCGGCTTTTGAAACTTTTATCAATGGCGTTTTGTTTCCTTTCTTTTCAAGATATGCGTCTACAGATCCGTATCTGGGCATCAGGATATTCGTATCGAGGAACTAACCATAGACGTTGCTCTGCTCAAGTTTCTTTGGATCTCTTCCTTGATTCTTGTATCTCCTCAGATTGCCTTGGATTTCCTCGGACCCCCTTTGTACCTTCCTCAGATAAAATCAAGGGAATTGGCAGCAATTGGCTATAATGGAGACAGAAACGTGCCGTGGCACATACGCAGACAAATGTTACCTCACATCTTCTTGATTTGTCCCGTATGTCCGTGGATGCATCTTCTCAGATTTTCCTCCGGCGGTTGCTATAAGGAGCTTAGACGCGCCGTGTTAATCTGATTTTTAAACTGTCTAAGGTTAGTAGATCCGGGAAAAGCATCCTCACGCGAATTCTACGACACTTTCAACATCCTAGTGACAAAGGAACGGAACTTCCGGTCTGATCTAGATGTATGAAGTTCGACACGGTTGGATGGCAGACGGAAGTCAGGCGGGTCTGACTGGCAGACTCATGGTGTGGTGATTCATGGAGGAGAGCCTTGTGGTGCAAAGCCCGTTGACACATCGAGCGTGTACAATCTAGTCGGGGTGGCATAACTCTAGACATGTGAGCAGTACTTGAGTCGAGCGCTTACCTGAGCATTGTACAGAGTAAGGAAGTTATACTTCTTAGCTCTTAACAAATAGCCTAGCTTTTTCCCAGCAGCTGCCGCGATTGACGATATGTGTTCGTGCCAGATCAATATACAGATTCAGTTCTTCAGAAGAGCTCGGACATCGATCGAAATCGGATGAGCGCTAGAGCGCTTCCTGTATGTCAAGACGCAGTACCTACTGTGTTTTGGAAGCATTAATCTGTACCATATTGTTGTGTCCCCAAGCAGTGTTGTAAATATCTCGTCAGAGAGGAAGTCGCTACTATTGTTCCAGCTCACTGCCAGAATCCTCTTGGAACTCTGAATTCCTGCATGTGGAGTGCTGTCATCAACAAAGCCGTGGATCGGCTTGTTTCGACAGGAAATGAGGCCGTTGATCTGGCAATTTTTTTGAATATATTATATTCTGAAAAATGCATATTATACAATTTTGAGTGTATCAAACTTCTTCAAATTGAGACAAAAATAGTTAATGTAACAACTGAAATCTATCCTCTGGTTTTCATGTTAATATAACTTATTAGTTACCTTTTACTGAGCTTTCGGCTATCATGGTTTTCAAGGTCCAAGTTATTGACAATTTATGTTGATCTGTCTTCTAGGTAACATGTTATTTGTTTTATCTTTCCTTCGCCAATATACAGTGTGGTGCGGCAACAGCCTCGGCAGTAGAGCATTTTAACCCGTAACTGGTGAGGTCCATTTTTTGTCCCGTATATGGTGAGGCGGGGTCATAGTGACCCCGCAATTTTTTTTGCAAAAGTCAATATTGTTTTTATATTAAAAAAAATCTGCCTTCATTACTGAAAAACCTTTATTTTCTGATAACGCTAACGCAGAAAACATTTGTTTATTAACTAAAATAACACAAAAAACACTTAAATCAAGAACGGCCTCAAAAATCAGGTATTTTATTAATAACGTAATAATTACCCTGTAATTATAAAATGAGCTAACATAAATATTTTTTTTCTTAAAAACTAAACATATAGGTTCAATGTACCCTACAAACAACAAAATATAAACATAAACAAAATTTAACATAAAAATTGCAAGCCATTCTTACAAGCAATCTTTACAAATGTGTGTTTCACATACATGGCAAATAGGTGCTTTGCAACTAGCGCAAACAATCTTGGTTTTCCGATCTAATGATCTTGGACATTTAGAGCACCTTACCCTTTTTGTTAAAACATCATTTGACGGTTCAGGCACGTCTTTCTGTAAAATAGAGGCTATATTATATCTCAATTGCCTTGGAATTTGAAAAGTAGTTACTCTTCTTTCCATATGATCCTGAACAAGCTGTCGCGCCAAACGTTTGTTAAATTCATACCTCGACTTCTGAGGATTTCCAGGTAAACATGAGTATATTATAAATGCATTAACGGAAGAAATATCCAAGATGGTATAAAAAATAGTTAGAGGCCATCTTCGACTCCTGCGATGTGTAGAATACACTGTACATTTTTCGTCTAATGCATCGACGCCTCCTTTGGTTTCATTATAAAATTCAATAATTTCTGGTTTTTTTGTTTCATTATTTACTGTCTTACTGTAGTGCATTGAAGACATCAAAAGTACCGCTTTTCGTGGTTTGGGTACGTAAGAAACTAGTGTAACTCTATCGCCAAATGCAAATAGGGAAGAGTCCGTAAGTCTACTTTTGTTTGGCAAAAAAGAAGCAGGTATCTCTCTCTTATTTTTGTCAACAGTTCCCACGTAAGTTAGGCCTCGCTTCTGTAACTCAGTTATAACTTCTAATGATGTAAACCAATTGTCCGCTGTTACATTACGGTTAGTACCCTCAATAGATCTTACCAGACGAAGAACTGATTGCGTTGGTTTGTTAAATTTTCTTTCCTCTTCTGACAATATTTGACCGTCACTTCCAGCATCTGTATATACATACCCATCCAGAAAATAATGAGTTCGAGCGTCAGTTAGTGCCATTATTTTTAGGCCATATTTTCGGGGTTTTTGAGGCATGTACATGCGAAATACACATCTCCCCCGAAAACCAATAATAATAATAATAAGCATTTCATCAATTCAAGCATACTGCCCTATGGAAAAATTCTTCTTGCTGTTTTCTGTAAACTTATTGAAAATTGATGAAATGGGGGCCAGTTTGTCAGTTTTTTTACGGTCTTCCCTTGTAATTTGGTCATCAAACTTAAGCGCTGTCAAAAGTACTTGGAAACGTTTTATTGACATGGTGCATCTAAAAACTTCTCTACCAGTACCATCGGTAGCAAATATTGAATTTAAGTCTTCATTATTGGATTTAAAGATAGCTGAATAAAATAGCAACCCAATAAAAACCTTTAATTCGATAACATCTAAATCCCTAAGGTCCGTTCTATTACCATCAGCATATTTGGTTCTAATTCTGGCAAGTTTTTCATTACTTCTGAGAACAATCTCATCTAAAATATCGCTTGTTATTAGGCATTCCCAGGCACTTTTCTCGAGACACAATTTTCCAAGAGACTTAGCTGGTCCAATAACTCCGGGAAGATGAGAGATAATATTATGACTTCTGGTTCTTACATTTGAAGGTGGAGCATCTGCAGTCCATTTGTATCGATTTTTACCATAGTACATTCTCGGAGTTGAAGTTGGAATTTTCTTGGTGCTCGTTGGAAGGTGCTGCATTTTGTGAGGTAGTATCTGAAACATCCAGTGTAGTTTCCAGTGCCACGGTTTCCGGCTCCCATTCAATTTCTGAATCGCTTTCGTGTTCACTGACATAATCGGGATCATTATGAGAGTCATCATTCCCGCTAAAGACACTCTCCTCCGCCTCTAATATACTTTGAGCCCATTGTTCAAATCTGGGATCATTGATTTTCATTTTATTAATACGTGACAGGTCCATTTTCTCTAAAAATGCAAAAAACAAACTAATTTCCAAGGATATCTAAAAAAAACGTAACTAGTGAGGCGGGGTCATAGTGACCCCACTGCGCAATAAATTCGGTATAATTTGTAAACACTTACCGATTTACTCACGTCTATCCCTTCGGCTATCACACCAGACACTGACTGAAAGGTACTGAAGCGGTCGACCGGCTAGGCGAAATAACCTAAGACGTACGTCATTTTTAAAATCTGCTGGGGCTCTCACGACCCCGCATCACCAGTTACGGGTTAAGACGGCACCTCGTAAGAACCATTAAAGCTCAGGACCGCCTGGAGTAGGTATTCCCGCTCCCAAAAGATGTCCAGCCCCCAAGCGACAAGCGAGCATGATGTTATCCATTGTTTTGAATGCATCAGACACATTATCCCTATCCATCGTCCCTGTATGTTGCGACAACAGTTCGACAACGGTTCTGGGTAGCTTTTTGCGTGCCCAGAGGAGGTTTGGCGTTTTCGGTAAGACCATGGAGCTATTTAACGCAATCGGAAGCATTTGGAAAAACTTATCCCAGTCTCAATTGGCTGTTAGTTTCAGCAAAATCAGTAGTACTTCCTACGGCTAAAAACTAAATCAGGTACCAAAACGAAAGAGAGTAGGATAATGCAACATGCCCACTGTTAATCCCTAGGTGTATGTGTGTGCGGATCTCATAGTACACACATACACACTATACGTGTACAGCAAGATAGCTTTCCATTTTTCTTTACTGTTCTATCAGAACTCAGCACATATTGCTACTCACCTTTCTGTCCGTCATAAGCATTGATACACTCCGAAGTCATAAACTGGCTGATGAGTGCTGTTTTGCCAACTCCTTGTGCCCCTAACAAGGCCACTGTGTAATTGGCCACTTCGGCGACCTGACCTGGTTCGTCTAGAACTGGAGAAGGTGTGCCTCCCCCTCCTCCTCCGCCCATGGAAGGCGGGCACAGGCTATTGCTGCGTGAGCTTCTTCGACGGAAGGAATCGCCTCTGTTAACTATGCCTGCAAAAAAATAAGTACATAAATTAATAACATAGTCATAAATGCAAGAAAGGATGAGAAATATAAGTATGTTGAAAACACAATAAAATACAATCAGTAATGTATGCTTAGTTTTTCAGGCATTTCACCTATCTTATGCATCATTGGAAAGTGTCATTCAATTAGCAAACACTCTGTATGCACATCTAGATTCACACTGTTGTATCTTGCATTTTCTGCCCATAAGAGATGCTTTTTTCCCTATATACCCAACTTGTTTTTCTGACCTATAAACTCGAATAGAATTTTTTGACAATAGGCTTTCGGCAGCAAGGAAAAAAGATAAATAAGAAGCGACGGCTGTGCGTTGGCGGCTGTCGTGCCTGAAAAAGGCTTCCGTGGTAAACTCTCAACTTCCAATACTTCAGAAAACAATAGGCACTCAGAGTACGCGACTGCCTTTTCTACTGCCGAGTTCTCGGTGCTTCTCAGAAGTACATCGGAGTACAGAACGCAAGATACGCCTATACAGTGTCCCATTTTAATCTATCCACCTAAATATTTCGAAAACTGGGTATTCTCGAAAAAAGTTTCAAACAAAGGTTGTTAGGTTCAACCTTCAAGGGCATTTCAAGGTTGAGTGAATATTTTAAAATGGAATGCCCTCTCTCCACATCGGAATTAAAAAGAGGCCATGACGGTCAAGGCCATTTCACGGTCCAATCAAGACATCGAAAACAATTTGCTGTAGCAAAAGTTTTATCAAGTCTATACTTCCAAAGATAAGCTCTTACATATACAGAAAATGTCAAAAGCATTCCTGCTGTTGCCATTCCCAGTGTAAAACTAGGAGGTTTCCTTCGGAAATCAGGTCTTGTCTTTTAAGGCCATGTTCGAGGTCACCTTAAGGTGATCCAACAAACCTCACAAATGTGCTGTCGGACATTTTTGCTACAGCAAATTGTTTTTAATGTCTTGATTAGACCTTGAAATGGCCCTGAAGGAAATAGGTCATGGCGATGGTCATATTCGGACATACATTTTACTTCTATTCTCAATTTCGATGTAAAAAGTGGGAGGTCTAATTGAACTTCTTCACTTGACCTTAAACTAACATTAGAGGTCGTAGACAATGTCATTGTCAAGGTCACAATCATTTTGCCTCCCTACCCTACAAGTTTTGTTTGTTATTTTCTAGGATGCGCAGTTCTCGAAATATCTCGGTAGGGATATCAAAATGAGACATTCTGTATACACAGAGTGGTCTCCAGAGATGTGAAATTAGCACAAGTAGACGCGATGAGCGTTCCAAGCATGAGGCCTATATACTAGGAGAAACCATCTTCAAAGCTTGACGCATGACTGATGACGCAGTGGTTGAAACGAGTACCAGCTACTGCGCATGCACCCTGCGAATTCACATCTGAGGTTAAAGTAGGAGATCCGGCCGTTTGAATCTGCAGGTATCTGTATTCCATATCCCGAAGTAAAAATCCTCAATTTTGGGGGAAAGTCCCCTAACATGGTAACCCTGTCAATGAACCACTGGTACACCCGACGTCCAGTATCGAAATCGTTTTTACAGTACGAACAGCTTTGCCGTAGTTTCTCCTAGTATATAGGCTAGACCTAGACGGTTCGAGTGAGAGCGCTAATTGGCACCCTTATTCTGTAGCTGACTTTCACCATCTTCTTGGATTTCCTGCGGTACCAGTAGGTCCACGGCTGGCCCTCTATCCCTGATCTCTCTTTCTCTGTCCGTTGGCTATTAAACCTTTGATCTGAACCTCCAGTGGTGTCTTTGTTTCACCGATATATACATTCACAAGGTACTTAGCGTAAAGCATATTTTTACGTTTAATAATTATGTTCTTGAGTGGAAATTATTGAATTATATTAACATTGAACGTCCTTGTCATGGTCACCATGAAAATACCTTTAGACAAAATTTCAGGAATGTTATTAGGAATAAAGCAAACATTAGGATTCAAAGTCAACCTTGACCATGGCGCTGAAGGTCAAATCAAGGTTTAGACAATTTTTGAGCAAGATACCCCTTATGTTTCATCCCGGAAATGGATAGAGTTGATAATTTTTCTTTTAGATATGACCTTGGTCAGGAAGGTCAAAGTAATTTTTACCCATTTAGAATTGTCTTGGACTTGATTTGGCCTTCAAGGCTATGATCGAGGTCAGATTCAAGAACAGAACTGAATAGCCGGGGAACATCCTGAAATATCTAACCGTTCCAGGCCTTTTGGATCATCCTGTATAATCATATCGATATTCGCATCCATAGCAAGCTTACTGGGACATCCGAAATTGATGGAAGTTCCCTGGACTGTGGATCAATCGGAATAAAATGACAATACAGGATTGAAATACGTATACTTTCTACACGGGTGAAGGTTGGAAGGAAAATGCAGAAAAGGGACAGATACGACATTTTATTGTTGGCCATAAAACAGTCGTTGAAGTAGACGGGGGCTTGCTCCACAACAAAGTGAGTCCAGTGGATCTCTAACCCGGTATCTTTTGACACCTCTGATCCTTTACAATTAACAATATCACTCTTTACATTTTAAACAGTGATAACATTATGCGTTTTTAAATACATTTTTTCGCCTTCCGGGAGCTATCCGACCAAGTCCCCGATGGCTCTGCAGCCTCCACAGCTTATTGTGCCTTGCTCCACGAGTTTATAGTACCGAACAAGTTGGTACAGGTTTCCTGCAGGTAGTGCTCTAAAATCCCTCGGTTTAAGTTCTGGTTTCCCAAAGAGTTGATGTCTTTTGTGATCCAGTGTCTCGCACTCAGATAAGACATGTTGAGCTGATTCTGTTCTTTTTCCGCATTGTCTGCAGCTAAGGTCTCCATCGTACAGCCAGCCTTATTTTGCTCAGAAGTTCTTTCAAGCCATTGTGTTCTGTTAGAAGCACCGTGATTGCGCGGAGTTAGTTTGGACATGGCCGCGAGATGAATTCTTTCCATGTCTACATCCAGTCACTAAGTACCAATATTTTTTATGCTTCTTTCTTACCCATTCTTTGACTTGGTTCCTTATTGTGCTTTTGGCACCTCCAAGGCAGGTTCTGGGACAGTATAGGGTGTGGATGATTCTTTCCTTGCGAGCTCATCCGTCCTTTCATATCACACGTTACTTGAGTGTCCTGGCACCCACATCAGAGTTACTCTGTTATGTTCCACCAGTGTGTTCAGTTCTTGTGAGCGTATCCAGGTTAGTGTCACATGTCACACTAGGACTCTTAACGCTATGAGTGATGCCTGACTGTCAGTGTATATGGCGAACCTTTTACTGTTACACGCTCGCTCATTATTTACTCTTCCACAGTGCAAGATTGCATACACTTCTGCCTGAAATAGAGGTATGTCTTCCAAGTGGTATACTATGCCCAGGATTACACCTGTTCCCATATATACCTGCACCTTTCCCTGCTCAGCTTTTGACGCGTCAATGTACCAGGTTGTGTCTTTGTTGTTTTCGTTCGCTCCCAATTTTGGCATCGAAGCTCTTTTTGAACACAAATCTTTGAGCTATGTGGTCTTTACTAGCATCGATTCTGCCATTTCCCACATGTTTCCTTATTTGGTTTTTTGGTTTGGTGACCAAGGTCCTAACTTCCATTTGGCTGTGACTGTAGCCTGGAGTGGCCCATTGTCCCTTTTTAAAATAGTATAAAGCTGAGTATAAGTGGGACTAAAAAAACTTATACAGGCGGGTTGTTGCACAATCTCGGTACCTTCAGAACAAACAACGTGCATTCGCATGGGGGCCACGATATAATAAATAATAATATATATATATATATATATATAATATAATATACTAGAACTAGTATGAATTAAGGACTTCGTTGACACTCCAGCTGTGATGGCAGCTCTTTTCAAGGATTTTGAGCAGTTTTGAGGCATACAAAAAACATAAGCAGGTGGAATCACCCTCATACTATAATTACGTGAGTCTCTCTCGCTACCAGCATTGTCACAGTCACCAGAAAGACAATGCACAGCGTTAAAATAGGCTACACTACCCTCGCTGCGTTGGTAGGTATTCGATAAATGAATTCACTCGTTCTAGTATTCTTAACATTGGTCGTTATGTAGATCCGAAAATAGTCACCGCTTCCACCGACATTGCTCATTTTTGTCAGTGTGCACAGATACATATATCTTTTGTTTACGTAATTATGTCAAAATTAGCAAAGAGCACAAAATTAAGAAAAAATAGTAGCTTAAAATTCAATACTACCAAGTGAGATGTACGGTTGATATGATTTTACCTCCTATGCCTCTAGCGAGGCAGTATTGTAAATGTGAAAAATTTCGAGAATGAGATGTGTTTATTGGATGTTATGTGACATGTCTACATCACTAAAAACCATGTCACTCATTTCCTTCTGCCTGTCGGTCTATCTGTCTGTTGGTCTGTCTGTTCACTTATCTTTAGTCCGACTCTAACTAAGACAGTCCTGCTTGAATTCGGATGTCATTTATTTTTACATAAGCTTACTACTATTTAAAAAAAGGTTTGAAGTTTTTGAAAATTGTTCCAGTGGTGGATGAGAAACATGAAGAGAAATAAAATCGCCCAAACTACATTTTTTGACTATTTAGAGGTTCCTGACGATTTTCAGGAAAACATTTGTAGGGGTCCAAACGTGGCAATTGATATTGTAGCTCCCAGGGCACCGAAAAGCAAAGCATATTATTATGACCGCGTCTGTCTGAGCGTGACAAACTCAAAACTACCCAATGGATTTTCGCACGGCTTTCATCGGTGCAGTGGATAGAGGGATTAATGAGGGAGGTTCAGGTGTATAATTTACTAAAGTTTTGTGTATATTGGCTGAGGGTATATCTATAACTATTATACTTGAGTTTCGAAGTGCAGAGTCACCCCGCTTGACGTCAATTTTTAACTGCCCAGGGTTACTAGGACTTGAAACCCTTTTCTAGCAAACTGCTCCATACATAGTAGCAAAGTCCTTTGGAAGACTGGTAGA